CTGACTGTGTGCTGAGGGCCCCACCCATTTTATTTTCCATATGGTATAAAAGGACCCATATATATATGGGGCCTTCAGAAAGTAAGGAACTGAGATGCATACTGTACTTCTTAGTGAAAATGATAATGTATCATTTATCTGCTTCATCTCCTGTGTTTGTTTTGTTAGAGCTTAGCCCCATATAGGCCTACATGATGTAGCCTACATGAAAGTCTTTTCCACTTCAGCTGGAGTACCATAAATCTGTTGCAAATGCTACATGCAACAGATCTGCCGTACAAAATCGTGTACAAACGGACATCATGTACGTAATAAATAAAAGGTGCTTTTGAAAGTAGCACATGAACTCCAAGTCCAGAGTTTCCTGTTTGCGGAGGCTGGGTGGGCTGCTTACTTTGCACTGTACTGTAATTATTCCATGCTCCTTCTTTCTTATGATTCTTTGTTACATTATACTATTTATCACCCTCACGGGGATCATATTGATGGTTGTTCAGAGCTCCGGTGTGGACTGCTCTTTCAATTTCTTTCTTTTACGTCTTACTTTTGTCCGAATCTGCATGTACTTCCTGGTGCTGAATGGCCTTATAGGTTTGATTAAGACTCACTCGATGTCAATGGCGAAAACACCATCACCATCATAGCTGGAACAACTACTGTCTTCAATGGGGGCTACAATATCAAAACCACCGCCATGACTGCCCACTGAAAGCAGAACACCGCTATCAACACCAAACATCAACCGCTACTTTTATCATGCACAATACTACACGCTCATCAGCGAATAACCTATAACCGCCTAATACTACATGTACGGGGTCTGTCCCAGAGATATAAGTGTAAGTTTTCTTGTTCTGTAAAATCAACACGATGGGTGTATTTGCGGGATCCAGAATTGAAAAGACAATCAGCAGGATGGAGAAACCCAGGATCGCCGCTGCTACCCCAGAAACTCGGCGCAAGCAAGGTGCTTTAACCATAAAGGCGTGACTTTTGAACCGCTGGTTCCCGTTGGCACAATTTGCAATGTTAACTATTATTACAAGAAAATAATTCTTCAAACGAAGCTGAGACCTGCAGTCAGAAGAAAAGCGCCGGGTCTGCTTGGGAAAGGTGTTGTCTTCCATCATGACAACACACCTGTGCACACTGCTCAAAGGTCACCGATCTCCTGGACTCCTGGCAGTGGGAAATCCTTGAACATTTCCACTATTCCGGAGACTTAATATTGTTCTCGAGACAAATCTTGGGCTAAGGACTCTGGCCGAAGTGGACAAGGTATAAGTGTTTGGCCGCAGACTAAATTGAACGAAAAGGTGCATAGATGCCAATAATTATTATGTTCGTACACACAACGATTTTTTTCATCGTCATGGCAGTAACGAAAAGTTTGTTAGCGGCGTTTACTGTCTGAAAATTTCTTGGCTTAGTCATCTGTCTTGTAAGAGGTTACATCCAGGTGTTCACGTTTATGTTGGAGTAACCCTAACGTTTATGTTGGAGCAACCCTGTTGTATCACAGCTAGGGCACCATCTTTGCCTTCATTCTGTAGGCGTAAGAAGTAAAATGGGGGACTTCCTCACTATACTTTTCAATTGGATTGTCACCCCAAACAGGAAAAGAAGTCGTAAATCTCAGAAATATAACTGACGGTACCAAAGATAAGATACATGAACGTTTGAAAGATGTATTTCACAAATTGCCAAAACAATCGGGAGACAATGAAGAGGAATAGGGCCACTTCTAAGCATGAGTGAACTAAGCATTAAAAGAAGAGTGCGGCACCAGAAAAACAGGACGGCAGAAAAGGAAAACAACTATATATGGTGGAATGACCAAGTGAAGGAAGCCATCCAGCTGAAGAAAAGGTCATTCTAAAAGTGGTAGAAATCAAAGACAGAGAAAGATTACATCCTATTCTGAAAGGAACGCCGCCAAACAACAAGGGTAGTAAAGGAAGCTAAGAACAGATCCTGGACAGTATATATGGAGAACAGCTGGCAACAAAATATAAAGAAAAACCGAGAGAGCTTTACAAGTGAGTTGACAGCATGAAGACGCGGGAAGAACCATTCAACCCAACTGAAATAGTCAATGATGAGAACGGAAACCCTATTCTCAGTAAGCCAAAGATTAAGGACAGATAGAAACGCTACCTCCAGGAGCTGCTGAATCATACAGGAGAAACAACACCAAACAGGTTCTCACTGCAAGAAACCACTCTAGAACCATCAATACGTCTGAGTAAAACTCAACATGTTATAAATAAAAGCCCCACAAACAAAGCGCCAGGCGCTTCCTCAGAAAGTACAGCCTCTGATTTACCTTTTTAACGATATTGTTTACGTGGCTTTGCAATGTAAATTTGTTGTCGATTGTAAGACCTATATATTTGTATGAATCCGTGATTTCAATAGTTTCTGGTTCATCACAGCAGAAGAGATCAAACTTTGCGGCCATATCGATGAACTCTGGCTGTGAAGAATATTTCAATGGTCTGGGCGACAAAAACAACACCCGATGACTGGCAACGAGCTGCCATTGTACCTATTTGGAAAAAGAAAGGTAACAAAAGAGACTGCGGAACTTACAGAGGAATGTCTCAGCCATGTGGGTAAAACGTTTGCCAAGAAACTGGAAATGAGAATGAGACCAATTGTAGAGATTCAACTCAATGAATCTCAATTTGGCTTCAGAAAAGGCAGTGGCTGTACTGACGCTATTTTTTCATTAAGATACTTGAGTGAGACTGCCATTGGACATGACTAAGACCTCAATATCGTCTCTGTGGACCAGGAAAAGCGTTCGACCGGGAGTATGGACAAAGAAATAAAAACTAGAACTATGAAGGCAAATACCAGCTTGCACCCCTGCTCCGTCAAAAGAATTATATCCCAACTGAAGTGAAATCCCAGCTCATCAATAGAATCTTCATACTAGGCACTTCAGTGAAATTTTCAAACTTCTCCGAGGGCACTAAAATTTGGATTATTGAAAAGAGCCTGGCTTTCTGTTTTCAGAGCTTTTTAAATTTTGTCCTATCTTTGTTAGTTTAGAAGCAGCGACCGTTTTTGTGAATCAATTTTCGCCCTGATTTGGCCAAATTTTTGCACTGCATTTTGTGCCACCAAAACTAGAAATTTTACTTCACAACGTCATAAAATCCTTAATAATAGTTGTATCGTGACCATTGAGGTATCATTTTGTTTGCTGTTTTATGTAGAATCAATATATAAAAATAAAAATCAAGTAAATAAAGAGTGAAATTCTATTTACCGTTTAATTACGTCATAATCGTGACGTCGGGAGTCCAATGCCTATTATCCCAAAAAAACAAACGGGCACACTTTCCATAATAATGGTCCAATTTTCAAAAGAAAAACATCACTCATTTTGTTTTAAAGAGTTCTGTAACTTGCTATTGGGGGAAAATGATTAAAATTGAAAGCAGTTTCAATCTTACATGGGGGCTCTCGTGGCCTAGAGGTTAAGGTGTTGGCCTCTCATTCAAAGGTCCCGGGTTCGATTCCGGGTAGCGACCAAAATATGTGACTGAATCTTTTCTTTGGTGTTGGAATCTTCTGAAGCGGGGCGTGGACGTGTGTGTGTACTTTGGATCGTTGGCAATCCAAACACTCTCTTACCCATTGTCTAACTTGTTTCTTCAAACCATGCCACACGAACTTCTAGGACACAAGTCGTGCTGTAGCTCTTGCCCCTGAATGTGAAAGGCTATGTATGATGTCAAAAAATTGACGTCGGAAGTCTGGCGGCACCACTGGGCGTGGTTTCCCTGTGGAAATGTCACACAACATTTGAGGACCGGTTGGTTCTACAGCTGTATAAACCAGACGGAGATTTGTGATGGCTGTGCGATAGGCCTGAACTTCCTCACTTGCGGCCTGAGAAGTTGCCATTGCCGAGTAGTCTACGCCTACCGACACATTGGAGATAGAGCGTGAAAGGCAGTCAGCGGTGACATTGTCTTTACCCGAAATATGCCTGAGGTCTGTTGTGAACTGAGAGATGAAGGACAGTTGCCTCTGTTGTCGACCAGACCAGGGTTCTGTGACTTTTGACATCGAGAAAGTCAGGGGCTTGTGGTCAGTGAAGACACAGAATAATCGACCCTCAATGACGAATGGAGAGATAGATGCTGAGCAGTTCTCTGTCAAAAGCGCTGTACTTCTTCTCCGCAGGACGTAAGCGTCTACTGAAGAAAGCTAAGGGTTGCCAGGACCCATCCACAAATTGTTCGAAAACCGCGCAAACGGCTTGTTCCGATGCATCACATGAGAGTGCAATGGGCACGTCGGTGTTCGGGGGGGCAAGCATGGCTACCTCTGCCAGTGCTGCCTTGCTAGTCTGGAAGGCAGTGCTCATTTCTTCCGACCACTGGACCTGAGTGGACTTTGTAAGTTCTTTAAAGCATCGTATAGGGGGCGTTGAACCTCTGCTGCATGGGGAATAAACCGATGATAGAAGTTTACCATCCCTACGTACTCTTGTAACCATTTCACTGTTTGAGGAGGGGGGAAATCCTCAATTGCTTTAATCTTGGAGGGGAGAGGTGTAGATCCTAATGGAGTGATGTGGTGACCTAAGAAGTCAATCTCCGGGACTCCAAAAACACATTTCTCCAATCTTACCACAAGACCAGCCTCACGCAATCTTTCACAAACAGCGTGAAGATCTTCCAAATGTTGGGTCTCGGAGTCGCTAGCGACAAGGATGTCGTCTATGTAGTTGAAAGCACATTTGAGATCTTGGAGCAGAGAGTCCATCAAGCGCTGGAATGCTTGTGCAGCATTCTTGAGACCAAAAGGCAGGCGTAGAAATTCGTACAGGCCGAATGGAGTGATGATTGCTGTTTTTTCGATGTCCTCTGGGGCCATGGGTATCTGATGGTATCCCCGCATGAGGTCAATCTTGGAGAAGATAGTTTTCTCTTTCAGCCCAGCCGAGAAATCCTGGATGTGAGGAATGGGGTACCGGTCTGCTATCGTCCTGTCGTTGAGGCGACGAAAATCCCCATATGGTCTCCAGTCTCCACTATTTTTAGGGACCATGTGCAAAAGAGATGCCCACGGGCTCCCATGTCTTCCATCTTCTTGAATTCCTCTTTTGCAGTGGCTAGTTTGTCAGGTGCTAGACGACGTGCCTTAGCATGGATAGGGGGGCCAGTAGTAGGCACATGATGATGGACGCCATGTTTCACCTCTGAAGATGAAAAAGTGGGTTGGAGGATTTGGGGAAACTCGGAGAGCACTTTCCTGAACTTGTTGCTCTGCGGAGCAACAGGAACGAGCTCTTGTATCGATGCATTCGCTACTCGATGGGTGCTGCAAGGGTAGATGGCCAACGAGTCAGCATTGATGACCTGCAGGCCACGCACATTGACAAGGAGGTTGTGTCGGCGGAGGAAGTCTGCACCGAGTAATGGCCGTTTCACATCTGCTACCACAAATCTTGCAGTGAAGACTCGATCCTTGGTCCTAATTGGTATGATACGCATACCATAAGTAGCAATGTTAGAGCCGTTTGCGGCGAGGAGTGGAGGTCCGCAGGTACCAGTGTGTTTGTCCAACTGTGTTGCGGGAATGACTGATACCTGTGCACCTGTGTCAACCAAGAAACGACGTCCTGTGATGTTGTCAGTCATAACCAGTTGTGGGGAGCATGGGCCAGCAGAAACTTGAGAGACGGGTGTCACTACTGCTGGCGTTTCCCTGGTTCTTGTTAGAAGTTGAAAAGGAACGAGGTTTGGGGGCAGGATGTGTGCATGGTTGGATTGGATGCATTTGCGTGCCTGTTCTCCATAACGATTGTGGTACCAGCACACTTGTGAGGTTTGGCCACCGCTAGATCTAGCTCTAGATCCAGAGGGTGATGGCTGCGTTGAAGCGATGTTTACCTCTAGCACTGAGGTGGAGTTTGGAATGACGGACAGGTAAAGTCTGTCCGCTTCCTGTGCCAGTAGCCTGTAATCAACAGTGTGTGACGCTGCCAGAGGTGTTCTCACATGTTCAGGCAGTTGTTGTAAGAACAGGTGTCTGAATAGGAAACATGGGCTATGGGGCCCAAGAACTATGGCGCTAGCATAGAGTCCATTAGCTCCGATGGTTTGCGGTCACCAAGTCTCTGAATGTTAAGAAGGAGGTGGGCTCTTTCAGATTCAGATTTGCCAAAAGCAGATAAAAGGAAGGTCTTAATAGTCTCATACTTGTGTTCCTGCGGTGGTGAAACAAGCACAGATAGAGCACGTGTTGCTGTTTGACTGTCAAGGCTAGCCACCACGTGGTAATATTTCGTGTCGTCCACTGTAACACAGCAGATGGCAAATTGTGCCTCCGCTTGAGCAAACCAAGCTTCGGGGTTTGTAGTCCAGAATGTTGGCAGCTTTAATGAAACTGCAAACACCGCTTTGTTTTCCTCGCCCATGTTGAATGTTATCTTGGAAATCCGTTCCAAGTTTTGGGGTCACCAATGTAGGAGTAGCGCTTAAATAAAGCTAAGACCTACCTCTTGAGTTGTCGTGAGTTGAACTGCTCGCCTCTCGGTCTTGATTTTTACTCACTGTGTCACTCTCGCGGAGATTGACGTCCTTTGTCCTTGTGAGGTCAATGCGATCGTACTCGTAGTGTTTCGCATAACCCCACACCTGCGACTTTATTTTCTCTCAGCAACATCGTCAATGGTACTTTTCCGTTCAACCAACCCTTGAAAGTGTGCTAGGACAGCAAATAAAGCTTCTAGCAGCTTCTCTAAATCACGTCTCTGATTCCAGAAGGCCGATATGGGCGCCTTGTGCGGTCAATAGTTCTAAATCTAGGCATACTGTTTGAGTAATGCATTGCAAATGATTTTTTAAAAAATTATGTCTTTTATTCTAACAAGGAATTATCAAGCTAGCCTGACTTTTTTTCTGAATGCTACTCGCCCACGTGGTCTCACCTCGTAAAAGACCCTATTTGCATTTTTTGGAGATTTCTGGCCCTTCTAAAAATAAACAATAAAAAATCTCCCTATACGCAGGCCTACACTTTAGCGACAGCCAAATCACGTGAAGAAAATCAGCATCAAAAGACTTCGTGGGTTATCATTCATCCGTGATTGAAAAATGTTGCTGTGTACCGACTAGCCCCGTTTCATCTTCCGTATGGCCCCGGCGTCCCCCCTCCCCAGTTTGACACTATTGACGACACAAGCAGGTGAGAGATCTAGTTCTATTTATAACCTCTTTGATCCAGCTCAAGATTGAGGTCAAACTATCTCCACTCTAAGAGCTAAATTTAATTCCTATAGGTATTCAGGGAAAAGATACTGGACAAGTTGACAACATTCCTCGGAGCAGCAAGAACAACAGACACCATTCCTACAACGCAAGACAGATGAAAGTGGAGGTCCATGATCGCCCACCCCAGTCGGCAGGGCACCGGATGATAATGAGGTATTCAGTAGCCTACAGAAACATTCCTGCTCACCAGTCGCCAACATTTCAACAGTCCTGACCACAATGAAGCTTCTGATTTGTAACTTCACGGCATTGAGATAGTCCAAAAACCTGCTAAAGACAAGTTCAACTGAAGAACTAAAGAAAATTTTAAAACATCGACAAACCACATTTCTAAATTTACCTCCAATCCTTGCATTCCAGTAGCTCCCCCCCCCCCCTCCCCTGCCCTTTCAGAAATCATCCACGCACATGTTTCCCCTTACTGTCGTCTACCTATTTATGAATACTTTTGATGTTGCTACTACTACTACTACTACTACTACTACTACTACTACTACTACTACTACTACTACTACTACCACTACTACCACTACTACTACCACCACCACTACTACTACTACTACTACTACTACTACTACTACTACTACTACTACTACTACTACTACTACTACTACTACTACTACTACTACTATTTGCCTTTACAATAACCATAACGATTCACTTAATATGATGTGACGGTACGTAGACACATACGAGGGGCATAGCAAAAGCTTTTTTTTTATCTGACAATGAAGGCGTAAAGGCAGAAAGTTGAAATTTGGTGTTAAAGCCAAGAATCATCTTCCTAAAATGTGGGTAATTTTGGCAAATTTCTGATAATTGGTTTTAAGCGCACTGTAAGTAAATGGAGGTATGCTATTCTCCAGTTTCAACATAAAAATGGAGAAAATATTGAGCACAGGGCAGTAATGAAGTTTTTGTTCTTGCAAGGCAAGCAACTAGATCTACATGATATTTTTACGAAGATGCATTCCGTATATTATTATAGAACTGATTGCCCATCTTACGCTACGATACAATTTTGGTTCAAAACTTTCAAATGCGGATTCATTGACATTGAAGATGGTCACCGTGATGGTCGCCCAGTGAAAGCAACAACAGAAGAGAATGTGTTGAAATTCCAGAAACGTGTGTTCTTTGATAGGCGGGTGACAGTCAAAGGTTTTAGCAAAGAAACTAGGCTGGATCTTTTGAACGAATCTTAAATGAAAAATTGCATTTCTGCGAGATGTGTCCCACTTTAGTTGACTCTTCCTCCAAAAGTGCAACAAAATGTCATGACTAACAAAGTGACTCGTACCCATGTCGTCATACTTTGTGTTTAGAGGTAGAAGAGGGAGCTGTTTTTCTGCTCTTTAAAAATATGGCTTCGTGCTTGCCCGCAATTTTTCGGTGTTGAATATTTCCAATTATCGTGTGTTTAGAAGAGAGCTTTGCTTGTTTGAGCCAAAAAGGTGAATAAAAACTATGAAGAAATATGGTACAAAACTGTTAAGCAAAAGTATTTACTATTAACCTCCGATGGACGTGCAGAAAAAGGGTACTCGTGTATGGGGAGAAATGCATTTTCGCGTCACCGTTAAGCTTAAAAAATATAGTTTAAAAAGACAAACCAGGTTTGTCATCTAAAATATCTAGGCTCAAACTCAATGGAATCAAATGCTATTCTCTTTTTGATTCTGATTTTGTGCGGAACGACCTATACTCGACATAATTTCTGCAGGTAACCTATTTTCGTGCATTGATTTACAATGTCGCAAGATTCTGCTACCAGTTAGTTAACTCTATCTCCGTTCTGAGATGCTCTTTCAGACACTTCACTGAGGTTGACTAAGTTCTAAGGGTTGTATTCGAACATTTCCTACCCGTGTTTCTCAAATTCTAAAAAAAAAAATGGTGGAATTCCCAAACCGCACAGAAAGGCACCTCTGGTGAGCGACATTTGATTGCACTAATGTCCACATTATACTCTTCATGAATCACCCAAAGAGCATCGTCTATAGATAAATAAAGTAAGTAGTCCTAGTGGCAACCATCTATTATTAGAATAGACAAGTGAAGGACGTCAACAAATTTATCAGCTGATGATTATTAATTTGATGAGAAACACGTTTGGCAATTGTAGACCACTGTAAAACAAAGAGTATATCTAGATCTAGAAGAAAAGACTGGGGGGGGG